GGGTAACTACAGTACCCTCGCTGCGCATGCGCGCCGAGGGTAACTACCGTACACTCTCTGCGCATGTGCGCCGAGGGTAATAATGGCTATTGTATATGTACTATACTACATGTGATGCTAAACTACTCAGTATTTTACAGCACAGATAACATCTCAACTAAGTAGCTATACATAGTTCATTCTAGTCAGCCTGTTCCAAGAGCATGCAAGGTGTTCAACTACAATGAGGAGGTCCAAAAGTATCCTGTCTACAATAACCACTGCAGCAGTATGAATCCTTACTGCACATGGCAAAATTCCCCAGGCATTCTGTGGAAGAGAGGAAAAAGAACAGACTAAATTTAAGTTGGTGAGCCCACTTAGTTGTTTTATGGCCTATACATTAGCACTAGGAACGCGTGAGCGTGGGCGAAGGAGCAAGCATCCAATTAATGAATCGGTAATGTATTCACCTGCGACAAGGCCATCATTACCACAGTTTGCTAGCCTACTGTAAAAATGATCGTGAGCTTAGTGGTAGCTAACTACTAGTCGAATGCGGCGTAGCTACACACTTTGTGTGGAAATTTCTTCTGCAACACCTCATGCAACACGCCTTTTGTTGCTAGATATGCACGCCCTTCAGTTCGTCTGTGTGTTTGTGGGTATAAATTAGACATTGCATGAATCCTTGCTCCAGCACAATATTATTATAGGTGAGCGGGAGCAGTGCTACCCATGTTGTTACCTGAGCATGCATTAGTCACGGTGTAGTGTGAAGACAAACCATTTCAGGTGCTGTGTATGCTCATTCATGTCTGCCGAAAATGCCGCCTACCTACCAGTAACTTACGCTATTGAGCAATGTCCTGTTCGCCATAGTGGGATCGTTCAGCCTGAAATTGAGCAATGTGAGCTGGAAATTGAGCTCTGTGAGCCGGAAATTGAGCCGTGTGCACCGGAAATTGAGCCGTGTCAGCCGGAAATTGAGCTCTGTGAGCTGGAAATTGAGCCGTGTCAGCCGGAAATTGAGCTCTGTGAGCTGGAAATTGAGCCGTGTCAGCCGGATATTGAGCCATGTGAGCTGGAAATTGAGCTCTGTGAGCCGGAAATTGAGCCGTGTCAGCCGGAAATTGAGCTCTGTGAGCGGGAAATTGAGCCGTGTGAGCCGGAAAATGAGCTCTGTGAGCCGGAAATTGAGCCGTGTCAGCCCGAAATTGAGCCGTGTGAGCCGGAAATTGAGCTCTGTGAGCCGGAAATTGAGCCGTGTGAGCCGGAAATTGAGCCGTGTCAGCCGGAAATTGAGCTGCCTCCACGTGTTCAATGTGTGCATGTGATGTGAATAAATGTTCTTTACTGTTGTGCATGCATTACAGGTTGGGGAGCACTTCCATGCTCCTTTCGTTATCAACAACCGAAATTTTTTCGAGAGATGCAAACATTGTATACTGCCTTTGACAAGTAAATAAAAAATTGTTCCAATTAAAAAAAAGTGTAGAATATAGGGATGCCATAAGAAACAAGGAGACAAGACAAGGATGACCTAAAGTACTTTCGCTCTGAGATTGCACCTTGAAAATCTAGAATAACTTCCGATTCAAGCACCGTATGCGGCTACACTTGGTATCAAAATGTAGCGCTTCCCACTCCGGTTCGTTCAGCGCTTACCCCGTTCAAATCCACTGCCTAGTTTTTTTCGCTACGCACGTTATGCATAATATAATCCCATACATTTCTACGGCATACTTTTCCCATACATTTCTACGGGCGAATAGTACCGCCCTCCTCATTATCTACTTCCGCGTGCATTCTCAGTGCGAACGTACTTTAGTGAACGTGATGCAGTAGTACAATGGATGATGGCTACATACTTTGAACTGACATCGCTTGCCGTGGGAGCACAGATGAGGCCCCCAGCAGGGTAGCCAGAGCCAAGGAAAGAAGAGTCAGACGCATCTTCCCTCTCTGTTTTAGTGAGTCTCCTGAATTGGTATATAGTTGACCAAAGTTGCAGCTTTTTGCATAGGAGTTGGGGAGAAGATGCTGCAGGTTTTATAGGCTAATGCCACTAAAAGGAACATAATTATATATAGAGTACTCCAGCTTTCCTATATAGTAGGATTAAAATCACTACCAGAGGGTTGCAGGGACCAAATGGGCACTTTTAATACAAAGTCCTCCCCTCTAGTCACTTGCGTAAGTGCTTTTGACTAATATGTTGCAGAAAAGCACCACCACCAGGCTAGGTGTGATTAACCCTCGGCGCGCATGCGCAGCGAGGGTTACGGTAGTCGTTCTGTGTGTCTACGACTATTCTCGCACTACAGGCAACGAGGCGGCTTATGAGCGATACCAACAGCTTTAGCGGTACAGGGGCTAGAAAATGAAAATGGCGATTTTGCTGAAACGACTGCGTTCGAGAGCGACAAACTGACACGGTCGCGGACAGCGTTGCGTGGCCCAACCCATCAATAAGCGGTGCGCATGCGTGTATTAGACGCGCGATAAACGCAGTATGCTGCCTCACCTCGACCTGATCCGCTTGCTCTGTGTACCTTGGAGGCACAAGAAGCCACAGCGAAGGGTGTGTATCGACTCCCGCATGCTATCTACTACTGTAGCTAGCCAGTGTCAGACACTCCGCAAGCTACAAGCGGGAGACTGCGAGTAAACGCCACTAGCCCACCATGCGCAGTTCGCCGAGGGCTTGCACTTTAGTGCTTTTCATTACCAAAGCAACAATACACAGAGACTTTGATGTTAAAATGAATACCAGAGGATGGGCCAAATGGGCACTTTCACTACGAATGTCCTGGCAATTGAATCACTTCCCTACATTTGGCATTAATTCGTGTTTGCCCACAGAGCAAGCTACGTTGCTTTGCTCATTTGCAACTGCTCTACATACATACCTCCTACACTCGTCTTGTAGAGTACAGTATACTGCACCAAAACTGTGCCTCCACGTGTTCAATGTGTGCATGTGATGTGAATAAATGTTCTTTACTGTTGTGCATACATTCTAACAGGTTGGGGAGCACTTGCATGCTCCTTTCATTATCAACAACCGAAACTTTCGAGAGATGCAAACATTGTATTCTGCCTTATATATTAGGCCTTTGATCCACACATGCGCCACATAATGTGGTACAACTTAACCCCATGTGGATCTGTTTAAATAAGCACACATTAGTATAACCTCGATATGAATTATTATAGACTTATGGAGGCTCTGGACACATTCATGTGTCCGTGGTTGGTAAAGTGTTAATACTGAACTATAATAGCATGTTTATGCCGACTATATATGACATGTAGCGAGTACTTTTCCACCTACTCCAGGTTATTACTTGTATACCTATGCTACAGATATAACCTGAGATTGTGTGTGTGTGTGTGTGTGTGTGTGTGCGTATTTACACACGCACCTACACATACTCTAAACCCCTGATATGGGTCACTCTAATGCTGCAAGTGTAATTGCCAGGAATCACCAATGAGTTTCAAACCCACAATAAACGAATGCAATGTTCTTTTGGTTGGCAAATGCAGGTGCAAATATCAGCTGATTTACGAGTTATGTTACTGCATTGAAGCGTCTGACCATCGGATAGTGAGTAAAATCAAGCAATTTGGACGACTTTGTAGCTAGGTTCGCTTCGGTCGCTTATCTTAGCACCTGAGGTAGTTTACTGAGATTGAGTTTCGGTCCTTTTCCTCTCTTACCCCTTCTGATAAGGAGGCCTCTTGCCGAAATGTTGTTTGACGGGTACACACAAACCAATGTGTGCAATAATTATAACTAATTGCAGTGAAACCTTGTTAGAGTGAACATGCTTAGAAGGAAATTTGGGTTACTATGAACAGTTGCAAAATCCCCTGCCAAGCCTCCATAGTAAGCTATTGTTGGGTGCTCTGTTTAGGGTTAGCGTGAAACCACCGTTAATGTGAACCACTTTTGTGGTCCATAGAGTGCACTGAGTGGGTTTCTACAAGCTGAACACACGTAGGTTTTAGTGCAAATGAGGCCACGCATAGTAAAGCTAGCTGCAGTCACCAGCCCATAACCCTGGCCAAGAAGTTGGAGTTAATAATAAGGTTGTTGAAAGTGGGAAGAAAGCTAAGTCAGCAATAGGTGTTTAATGCAGTGTTTCTACAGGTTCTAAAGATACTTGAGTCCTTGTTTTAAGAAAGGAAGCAATATTGCTCTCATTGCTAGGCTTGAAAATACCCTTCCTAATAATGTTGTATATCATGCACATGTAACAATAGACCATGTGATGCCAAGAGAAAAAAGATGTGGAGCTCTGGACAGCTGTTTCGGGCTTTTAGCCCTCATCAGCAAAGCATACACTTGTGGTTTTGAACTAATGACATTCATCCCCACAAGGCTTTGCTCAGGCGCAGCGCTTGTGGTTCTGAACTCATCCCCACAAGGCGGTGCCAGTACCAAAACCCGAATTCAGGTATATACGGTTTATTTTTCTGTGTAAATATGACAATTCCTTTTAGTATGAAACTCCTGTTAGTACGAAATTTTGAGGCAGTCCCCTTGAGTTCACTTTAATGAGGTTCCACTGTAGCCAGATATGTAGTGGACTATTATGTGTGTTAGTTAACGTATAGGCGGCGAGGCGGTACAGGATATATATACTCCGAGGCTGTTGGCTATACCTGCCCTCATCCGGTATAGTCAACAGCCTGGAGTATATCCCATACGCGCCGAGACACCTGATGTTAACTGTTTTGTAGTCCAACTAGCCAATCACAATGCTGAATTTCTGCTGCATCATCCTACTAATGCCGGTACTAATGGATTGTTGTGTAAACTTTGTAAGCCAGACAATTTGCACTACGCCTAGCGCTAGATGTTGTGATACTGATATTGGTCAGCGCACAGCTCAGAATACAGCGTATATTCCAAGCGCCACATTGTTTGGACTACAAATAGAATTATCAAAACTGCACAAACTATAATTATAGTGTACATTTCTATGCTAAAGGTCTATGCATATTACTACACTCTACTTTTCTTCTCTATTTTAATTTTTCTTTTTGGCCTGTCTTAGACTTATTTCATCTTCAACCCCAGAAAGTACTTCCTCGTCACTGTTCTCATCAGGAGCAATGTCGGTTGGCCACATTTTTTGTTTCTCTTCATCATCCGATTCTGTGGCGTCTGCTGGCCCAGTTTGCTGCATGCTTTCTATTGTTTCTATGCTCTCTTGTAACTCCTTAGATATTGATATATTCACACTTTCAAGACTTTTAAGCTTCTCCTCTCCCTCTCTCCATTTCGCTTCTTTCTTGGTATTGTGGACAAGGCTTCCAATTTGCCGGATATGATCCTGCACTTTAACAATTAACACATTTTCACGTTCACTCACTTGAGGCAAGATATTTATGTACTTGATCTCGCTTTCCCATTTCTCAATTTGTTTGGAAATTTTTTTCTGATAGATTAGTAAAATTTGTGTATTCATCCATCTTTGACTTGTGGTCTCTATTCTCAATGTGTTTCAAGCGGACAGTTTTTCCACCCACTCTTTCTAATGTCGTCTTGCAGACTCTACAAAAATCATCATCCACCAGTGTGTCATCAATGGATACTTGTTGCTGTACCATCTCTACTGTTTGTTTGTCTTGAAGGGTAAGAGCTCTCATAATGTCTTCATCAAATTCCTCTTCATTGCTTACTTGCTTTTCTAGGTCAGTTTCTGGTTCAACTTTATCATCACTTTTAACAGTACTCGGAGAGTCTATTGCTGTTAGCTTCTCAGTATCTTCTTTCTCTACTGCTAAATGAGGGTCTCCTGTGTTTGTTATCAGAGGAATTACGGACCTTATTGGCACTCTTGGAAGTGGACATGGCATGAGATTCATCTTTGTTTGAAGAATTTGAAGGTTGAATAGGTAATTTCGTTTCTCACCCCTGTAGTATTGCACATTTAGCCTTTCTACTATATCGAAAATATCTTTAGCACTTGTGCAACATTGTAAAGCCTCACAAATACCCTTGAGGTGGTGATCAGTCCGTTCCGTCAGAGGCTGGAGGGATCTTTGTATCCTTTTCTGGTATACTACCAAATCTGATGGTTTGTGACGGCTGGAAATTGCCAAGTTACCCAACAGTGTCAGTCCTAAAGTCAAGCAAGTGACGACATTGTTGTGTTCTTCATTTTTAACAGCTTGATAAAGGACATTAAACCCATTACGATAAAGTCCAGTGAACACCTGGAAAACACGTTCCATTCCTTTTTGTGCATCAGCTCTCAATGTTATAACATGCACAGGGTTACGATTATTGGCAATTATCTTGAACGTGTCAAAGCATGACTGAAAGAGTGCGGAATCTGTCTCTTTGAAGCAGTTTTTCTGATCAAAATATGTCATTGTGTCAATAAGCATCTGGGGAATAATAACTGTTGCTTGTTGCGGTGAACTGAGGATGTGAAAAGCATAGTACATCATAGCACAAATGCTGAGCATTGTAACCACATTCGTGACACAAACTATATTTCGATTCAGACTTATTCTCCTTGCAATTACTTCAATGTACATCATTAGCATTTTAACAGCAATACGTGCCTTAGATCCTTCCCTAAGCAGCTGACAGAACGTAATCCACTGACCAAAATGGGGCACCTTGTGTTTTATTCCATCAATATCAGAACTTGGTACATAAAAATGAATCTCAGAGGCACTCAGCTTATGAACGCGAACAGGTCGCACTCGCCGGGACACTGCAAAGTCATTTTGTTTTAAAGATTGTGAAAGAATCCACGCTTCCATCCAGTCATCCAAGCTAAGACCATCTACAGGTGCTCTTAGAAATTTATCTAGTCGATCTTCAAGGATTTTTAGGGCACTTGGAAAACGCTTTATAACATCATAATGCTTCATGTTCAGAGTCAGACCATTGTACCTTATGAGATTGTAAAAATGCCTTTTCCATTCTTCAAGGCTACCACATTCATTGTTGTGGCAAATGATTTCTAGACCCATTGAGTATGCCTTTATGTAATTCAACAGCTTTAATGGGTCATTATTAGCAAAGGGGCGTTCTGTAAAGTTGTGATGAAACGTATATCGTACCATTTCATTTTGAATTACATTCCAGCATTCCTTGTTGCCTTTTAGCAACTTAACGTTTAATTTAAGATGATCTGAAACAGCTCTACCAAGTTCATGAGCACGTTGGTGCAGTTCTGTGGGGTTGCCTTCTTGCCATGGCTCCATAATACTCCAAACATCTTGATGGAGCTGGAAAACATACTGGTCCCTTTCCTTGACGACACTATAGAGTTCTTCAACTTGTTCCATGATGTGGGAAACGAATGCTGTATTTCTTTCTTTCTCCGTTAGGTATAAACATATGTTATTGATTTCAATACACACATTGAGTATTGTTTCTACCAATTGCATATCCTTCTCTACTTTAGGGAAAAGAAGAACAAGTGCCTCACATGCACCCAGTGTATATTTATCTTCTCGGAAGAGCTTCAAGGCCGCATGGCAGTATGAAATGTCTCCAGTTATCTTACAGTGGAGAAGATTAGCTATTCCTATAGCAGTAGGGGCAACTTTATCACTCTGGCACATACTCTCCAGTTCCAGTTGAAGATTAGGTAATTCAGTGTGGGGAGTGGGACAGGAACTCAGTTTGAACTTGGCCGCAGAAAGTATAACCTTCTGCTGTTTCTTGACATTATTTCCCTGTTTGGCTAGATCGAATGCCTCTTTGTACATGGCATGTTTTAGCATTAGCTCATATGCATTATCCACTTTCCCAAGCTCTTTTAGCACCACAACAGCCTTGTCGTAGGCTCCCACTTGTTCAAGGTATTTGACTTGTAGTTCTGGAGAAATGACATTTATAATGGTCAGTAATCTTTCTTTCCCTTTTGGACCCTTTGCCAAGTGTATCATAACTTGTTGCTTCCCATATTTGATTAGAGACTTGTCAATATCACTGCGCAAGACACACTTTTGACCAATGTACTTACTTGCAAGTTGCAGGGCCCTAAATTTTTCAAAACAAAATGCAACAGAGACAGCTTCTCCATACCTTTCTTGCCTCTCCATTATTGCAAAAACGTCTTCGAATTTCTTTGAATGCATGCAGCATTTAATGGCATCATCAAACTATTGGGAAAGAGAAAATGATGGGGTTAGTCTATTATTGTACATGCAATGATAATTATCTAACCTTTTTCATTTTTCCGTAGAGCCACCCTGCATCTTCATATCGCTTTCCATTATAAAGACATTTTGCCGCATGATGAAGTAATCCTGGTGCGTGCTCAATTCTATCACAATTGAGGAATGCAGTAGCAGCTGCTAAGTATCTCTGCCGTTTTTCTGCTTTGTCTTTGGAGTTTCTGGCATCGTGATAAAACCTCAGTGCCTCGCATTCTCTTACTTTTTGTGGGCACATGGCTTTCTCAAAACACTTTGTAGCTACATCCCACAGCTTGTGCTGCATAAATTCGTCTCCCCTTTCCCTCCAGTCTTCTGGAGATGACCTTGATTCTGGGTCACCGGTTTCAAAGATTTGGTCCACCATCAATTCCTCCACAAGACTGTTTTTCTTCCAGTACCACGTGGCAGGTCGGTGGTCGTCACTCGATTCATATAGCCAGAGCCTGGCCTTGGCTCTGGTGATGGCTGTGTACAGGTGTTTGAGCTCTGAACAGAGGAGTTTGTGCTTTTCCTCTTGAAACACGAGGTAGTGAGGCTTTTCGCAGTCAACTTCAGCACTTTTAGGGACTATAACGCGCCATTCTTCTTTGAGCTGAAGTGAAAAGAAAATTGTGTAATCATTTTAGGTAACTAGACATGCATTATGCTTTTTACCTTTGAATCTGTAAAAAAATTGTATAGTAATACATCATCAAACTCCAATCCTTTTGATTCAAAGATGGTTAGAGCAATGGCAGCTTTGAGCTCTCTTGGGAGGTTCTCCTTTGCTTCTTGGGTTCGAACTAGTATTGCTTGGTGAGCCCCAAAGTCAATCATTGTCCCTGTCTGCTTTTTTCCAGCTAGGGCCACAGCAAGTTCAGTAGGTGAACATGTATGTAACAAAACAGGCTTTGGCCCGCTTACTAAACCTTGCTCTTGTAGTGTATGGTCATGATCAAACGAATAAGGGAAGTACTCTTCCAGCAAATCTGTAACACTTGACGCAAGTCTTAGGATACCTGAGTGGGCCCTAAAATTTATAGTTAGATGCTGTACTTCTGGCACTTTTACTTTTCGATGGTAAAAGAGGGATTTAACGTCTTCAAAGCGAAAAGCAATGCCACTCATTATGCTCTGTGCGGTATCTCCAGTGAGAAAGAAGCGGTTTGGGTCTCTGCAATTGCAAAGCATAAGCCAGAGTTCTCCCTGAGTGAAATCTTGGACCTCATCAATATATAGGCTATGTACCACCCATTTTAGTTTATCTATCTTCGGTAGTCTCTTGAACACATGATGAATGAGGTCACATTCATCAAAGAGACATTCATTTGGGTGATTTTGAACATACGCCTTGTAGGATTTAAACAATTCGTATACTCTTTCTCTGTTACCAGTGAAGTTGGGAGCCACCTTTCTACCAAGCTCGTTATACTCTTTCCATCAAGATGACCATTTTCGGACTCAATTGCCTTAAGGGAACCCTTAATATAGGATTTAATTTCCATCCATACAAGCAGAGATGACATTGTATCATTGACTCCTTTTATTTTTGGCCAAATGTGGCTGTTGAAATATGAGGCAGTCACCTCCCTTCTTTCTCTCATAAAAGTCGTTTTATGACTGGTTGGATATAGCATGACAGGCTCTTCATCCACGTCATCCTCTAGGTCAAACAGTGTATCTGACAATGTATCTTCATGGTCATAGTCAGTGCTCACTATTCTTTCAATCATATTTCCTTCTTCGTCTCTCTTGAAAAAGTACTTATCGTCCTTCAGTGAATAATCAAGCAAAATGTAAAACTGTCGTGCAGTGAGGAATAATGGGTAAGATAAGTCATGTATATCTGTTACGTCGTTGGGCAAACCTTCTAGCTTTTTTTTAGTGTGGTGTTTAGCAATTTCTTCTGAATCTGAAAACTTGGAAAATTGTTTTCGCAATCTGCTGCACAAGACATAGTTCTTGGTGACAAAAACCTGATGTAATGGACAATCTGATTCGGGATGTGTGCAGTCTTCAGAGCTTTCACTGTTGACAACAGGGGAACAAACATCATCGCCTTGCAATAAATGGGGTTGTGGGGAGTTAGCTCCATCCTCTCTCCCAATTTTCATTTCTGGTTGAGATAGTTCTTCTGCCCTGCTGGGAAACTTTCTCCAGTAAGTTACGTATTCATTCCACATTCGATATAAGCAGCAAGTGGTCTTTCCTGTCCCACTTCTTCCTAGGAGTAATACTGCCTTGGTGTATGGCAAATTGATGATGTCATGCTCTGCTGGCCATTCTTTGTAGGGAAATGATCTCTCAATGTCTCCATCTTCAAGCATGAGTTTAACCACACAGTTAGAGAGGCTATAGAGGTGGGCAATGCAGAAAGAGTAGTTATCTGGGTTCATGGGTGGACTATACATTACCACATCGTTACCCTGATTCTCTGCCATACTATCATGACAAGGCAGAAATATCCGTGGCTCCCTTCTATGCCTGTGTACATTCGATTCAGCTGGAGAGGTACTCATTAATTTCACTTTCAATCTTTCAGGGACTTGACATGCCCTCTCGTGAATATTCTTTTCGATTACTTGCACATGGTGATGAATGTCATCGTGGTCAAGAACAATGTCCCACACTCGGATTATTTCTCGGTATCTTTTCTTTATGTCAGCTTCTCCGGGCAATTGGTAGAGCTGAGGTACTATTTGCCAGATTGCCCTGTCTTTTTATTTAAACGTGTCTCATAAAGCTCAATGCCCTTGATGCTTGAAACTGGCTTACAATGTTTTTCATTATTCACGAAGTCACCTTGTGACAGAATCGTCATTTTTGCAAGAAATATCTTTTTGATATGGTTGTTCTTTTTCCCTGACAATGTCTTCATTACTTTCTTACTACACTCAATCTCCCATGATCTACTGTCAAAACCGTCGCCTTGTTCTTCAGATTCAACTTCTGGCAGATGATCCTTTTCATCACCTTGTTTTGGTAATGTATCTTTGTGGGAGTTTTCATTTGGCAGTGATTTCTCCTGAGCTAAACCTTGTTGGGGCATAGGTGGGACTTCATTGGAAGCATCAACATGGTGCACTTCAGTTTGTTTGGAGTCTTTGGACACCAAGTAGAAATATTCATCTTCACGTTGGTGAAGTTCATGAAGAAACAATCGAAGATCTTCCTTCACTTCGTTTTCCAAAGTATTTAGGCCTGTTCCGATATCTGAATGATCTCTGTCACTTACCTTTTCTCCCTCTTGATCATGCCATGGGTCCGATGATGTCGCACTGTTATCTTCTGCAGTGTCATGATGTCCCCCAGAATTAGTTGTCTCGGATTCCTGCTTCACTATAATCATGCTTTTCACTCCCTCAGGCCTAACAAGAACGTCTATTTCACTTTCTTGGAGTCTGTCTAGTGTGTCACTGCTTACCTCATTTTCTTCCTCATATTTTTTATCTCTAGATGGCTCTAATGCAGGTAAACTTTCAACACTTCCAACTATGTTACCTCCTTTTTGTTCACTTCCATCTTCTTGGTTTTTCTCTACTCCTACTTCTGACAAGGCCTTGACGGCACCATGCGTATCTTCATTAATCTCTCTCTTTGTTTCTTGTTTCTCAGTTTCCTGTAACCCATCTGCCTTAGGCCAGGCTTCACTTTTTTCCAAAACACCTGGCACATCCTCATTTTCTTCCACTTTTCTTTCTTGGTTTTCACATGCTCTAGCCTCATCTACCTGAGTGCTCTTCTTCTTCTTTCTTCTCTTCTTCTTTACTTTTTTTCACTTCACCTGTTGCACCTTCTTTACTTTCCTCACCTATCAATTCAGCTTCCCTTTCTCTTAATATTATAACTCTTTCATCATCAACTTTCATTCGATAATCTGCTCCCCTACCATTGTTATCCTTCTTACTAGGGTGAATAGGATACTTCCTTAGTACCTTACAAACTTCAATTCCAATCTTGCGCTTTCCAGCCAGAGCTAGATGCCATGGTGTTTTCCCTCCTTTGTCACACATTTTGACATCATTTTGAAACTCATACTTACTACAAACCAAATCTAGTGTATCTACGCTTCCATTTTCACCCAGTATACATTTCACAACGTCATGTATGACTGTTGTATCAGGAAGACAAAATGTTACGTCAGCTCCATTTTCCACAAGTAATTTTATCATCTCTAGCTTCATGCTTATTTGCTCATGGTGCTTTTCGAGGACAATTTTTACAGGGACTCTATCACCTTTCTGCAGATTAGCACCTCGCTCAAACAGCTTTTGGAGCCAGTGTAGTTTATAGCATAGATCCGATTCCTCTAGAAGAAGTGGGATGTTTATTGGCACCCCTTCAAAGCAAAAATTATCTAAAAAAGAGCTCAACAAGTTGTGATCTACCTTCCATCATGGCTATGCGAACAAGTTCCGCTGTCATATCCATTACTGCTTGTCCACATTTTGAATCTTGTTTTAGATACTCTGAGTGGCTTACAATGGCAAATATCATTGAATTTGTTTCTTGTAGGTTTTGAGACAAATCAATTGCTTTGATAACTGCTGTCAAGGAAATATGAACTTTAAAGACGAGTTGGAAAAGAGGTATCAAGTGAATATTTTGGTCTTTGATCACTTCTTTGGGTAACGTTTCTGCCCAATCTTTAAATTTAAGCTTTTGAGAGATATACTGCACGTGCTCCTTGGTGACAGAAATTCCTGATATTCGTAGCTCTGCAAGTGCATATGAGTAGGTAGTATAGAATATGAGCCCACCCACATGTGTTGTATACACATGTATAGTTTACTGAATGTAGAGAAAAATTTGTGTACCCCGCATGTAGCTATATGCCATTTGATGTTTGCCTTTGCCTTGTGTTGTATTGTGTCACCAAGACTAACCCAACCCATAAGCCCAAGCCCCTTTTACAACACTTTATGTAATTGGCGAGCGGGAGCGAGCCAACGTAGTCGTTCGTTCGAGCGGAATCTTCTGTGTATATATATATGCGTTCGTACGTCGTGTAAGTGCGCATGCGCGTCTTTGTACGCGCTTCTTTTTATCCGAAATTATTTCAACTCTCCTCCATTCGACGGTGACTGACCGAAGCTGTATATACCTCTTCCCAATCTTCATGGTTCCAAGCTGCAACTTGCATAATACGCTAGGGCACATACTGCTGCATGCCAGTTGTAAGGTGGACCACGACTGACGAGCTGAAAGCATAAGGTAAGTACCGTTCTGCTCACCGGGACCGGATTTGCGTTGGTGGATAGCAGTCTCTTCTCTCTGACTTGCCTGACTCTGTTCTCTGACTTGCCTGGTACCCAAGGCACCCGGTGCGCCGC